GTATTTTGATAAATCACACACAGTGTTGTACAGTTATATTAACTGATAAAAATAAATACCAAGTAGAAAGGAACAACAACAGGGGAATTAGAAACTCAATTTTATAGAAAATCAACTCACACAGACCAAATCCTGAATTACAACAGCAAAAACCCAATAACACACAAAAGGAATTGCATAAAAACACTACTCAAGAGACTCAGTCAGGACTCATTGCAGAACTCCCACTTTAAGGGAAATTAAAGAAAGATATCTCGTGGATGTTTTTCAAAAGAATGGATATCGACGGAATTTTATCAAAAGACATATATCCCCGAGCCAACCTATCAAACCAAAAGCCCCCAAGCAAAGCACAAAGAAAATCGCCTTACCATATATAAAGGATATCTCAAGAAGCACTGCACTACTCTTCAAACCTTTAAGAATTGATATCGTACACCCAGTTCTATGTCAACCAAAAGACTGAACAACGAAAGAAGATAAGGCCAACATCATCTACAAAATAAATTGTAACAAGTGCGAAAAACACTACATTGGCCAAAGTGGACGTCCTCTTCGTCTTCGTATCCATGATCATAAACTGGCCGGTCGTCAAAAGACATGATATCCACTCCCTCATGTCACTCGCTGCATACAGACAACCAAGGACATCAGTTCGACTGGGACAACGGTCAAATATTAGACATAGGAAACAACAAGAATGCTAGCCAGAGAATTTTTAGAAGCCTGTCTGTTATTCCAGTGAATCATCAATCAATAGACACATCGAAATAGACAAAATTTATCAACCGATAAGAAAGAAACTTCACACACAAAGGGTCAAAGTTCACTTCAAAGGAAGAATCAGTTCCAACACAAGTAACCTAGAAGGTGTAAAAACACAAAAACGACCAATCACGTTCAAGACCACCCTACAGGAGATATGATTAATAAACTCCTGGAGAAATGTGGAAGCTCACTTCATCGAAATGAAGTGTATGCGCTGAAGATGTCGCCTAGTAGGGTGATGAAAGCTTCAGAAATTATCTATCCAGCTCAGAGAACACAACCACATCAAAATGAGTAATATTCAAGTGTTGATCTGCAAGGATTTGATTGGTTTCAGGATTTCATCGTGAACCGACATCGTGGACCATTAAGCCGCTGGTACCCAATCCAATGACCAGCCCATGAATTCCAACCCCTGCAAATTCACGATATAGCGCGATCATTAACCAATGTAGACTCTATAAACTATCTGTTCTCACACCTGACTTTTTCCAATGGTTCTCTAACTGACGTCAGCTCATGATGAAATCGAAAAAGTAATAATTCCAAAGAAGATATGGGAATGTCGGGACCATGATACAAATGTCAGGGGAAAAGATTGGAAATTAAAAATTCAGTTGAGATATTCAAGTATGCGTCAAATCGGAGGGATTTCAGGAACAGTTATAATGTTACATCAGCATTGGACTTAATAACACCGTGATGATGAATCACATGGTAAACAAACTTGACTGATAGGATTTAGACAGAACTAACACTACTATGACATACTATAGCATAATGTATATATATAAATATATTAATGACAAGTCCGTGTATGATCAGATTGTTCGAAATGTGTTACGTAATTGCATTACACGATTCAGACACATTACATCTTCTTATTGCTTTATCTAGATGTTTATATAATCTACAGAATTTACAACGGAGTTTAATGCACGATTTCTTCTTGTCGTCCAGGATCTTCAAAAAAAGGATTATTTGATGGTAGGTAGTGTGATATACAGTTCTATCTGACCTGGAGCTCAAAACAATCCATTATGTTATCTCTTCTCTGTTTTCTTCGAGAGATGCTCTACATTTTGTTGAGTACTGATTATGAAAAGTTCAGGAGTAGATTTTAGTGAACCAAGGACACCACTCAGGGCAAAGTTAAACTTTCGACACCACTAACAACCAATCAGCAAACGACCTTGAACGGACCAGTCACATTAAAGAGGCATTTATGATAAATGGAAAAGTATATTTATACAAAAATAGCATAAAAAAGGATAAAACTGTTACAAGGGGTATCTTTCCCTAACATGTGAGAGAAACATCTCCCAGTTAAGCATCGGACCGTCAATAGAAAAGCTACACCACATTCTGTACATATATTCATCCAAATGACTATAAATGAGATCCTTTTGAGATCCATTTATAGCTCTAATTCTATTTCTCAACCTCCTCCAAAATCATTCAATAGAATTTGTATGTGTCCTCGTAATGGGATTGACAAAGTCACCTGAACGGTTCACTCTGTCATGAATATATCCAAGAGACGACAGAGTATTGTAACCTTTCCATTCATTCGTATGCATGATTGATTCCCGTTTCACAAGTCTGGTAATAATAGGTATTAAAGCAGTTGCCATTCTACCTGCTACCCTTTCCACGAAACCCTTTCGGAGGGAGGTGTCCTACAAACCAATTACTCAAATATTGTTAGCTCGCTGATGACCACCGTTGTATTTCTTCTTTACCAACACAGTTTCGTCAACGTGCACAACGATGTCATCTCCATCCAACAAATAAGTAATTTTCTCCATTTTCCACGATGCAATGTCTCTGCAATGCTGATACCACTGATCTGTTGAGACGAGGCTATTCTCTGTTTCAGCAGCGATGGCTCTCACTGGATGTTTTAAGACCCAGTAGTTGCAAACAAACAAAACCTGTGTTAAGGAGAGAAATGATCTTGAAAAAAGTTCCTACGAAATATCAAAATTATCAGTTTACCTTCTCTAATGTTAACCCGCCTCAAACAAATCACACAACAATGGACATATCCATCAGTTGAACTACTAAAGCTTTTTAAAGTCATCACACCACCACATGAAAACGTTCTCTCCTTCCGAAGCAATCCTATATCCAAGCAATACTGGAAAACACTATCCTCCTCGAATTGCAACCGTAACTTCGTTAAGGCACGCATTTGAAACGAATCAAGCGCCATACAACATTGAACTCACGTTCATGAATCTCATTGGACAATGCGACGTCGTTCGTTGATTGGTAGTTGGTGGTGCTTAAAGTTTAACTTGGCCTCACTCAGGAACAGTTCTCTCATATATTGAGTGGGATAAGCTGCTATTGAGGATAATGCGTCTGGTCATGTTTAGTTAAAACATGAGAATCAATGGGTTGTAAATGTTTCAAATACTTGATAGAATGTAAAACATTATTGGGGGTCATATTTAACTACATTTAAACAAACTCAATACAAGAAATAATACGCAATATATTGATGGAGGTTTGCGGTAGCTGAGGGTTTTTAGCAAGCCACTCTTGTATTTGTACGTTTCAATTGTTATCATTGCATATCTTTCTACGTTTCAATAAACTTTCTTTCCTGTCCGTCGACCAATGAACAGGTAGTAGAAATCAAACAACATTTATTTTTTATTTTACTCTGGAAATTTTATTCACCTAACTGATTCGATTGAAATATCTTAACGAGAAACGCAGGAATCAGCTAATTGTTGGTTGAATTCAACAGTGTCCACTTTTAAGCAGTGTGAGATTTCACGCATTGAAGTTATTTTGCATTAAGCCTTAATCGATTGATTCCATGCTAGATTGAAATGCTTGATCGCCGGTGGTTGTCGTCTCCTAGTATGAGATGAACCAGTAGTAGGTCAATGAAAAATGCTTTTGCGTTTGAAAAAAGTGGGTGTCAGATTCCAGTTACAGTAAGAACACTATCACGTACTGATAGGCATGTAGATCCAGGGTGAGAAGTAGTCCTAAATGGGATGAAACATACGTGTTCTGCATTCTACTTGCTAGCCTCCACCAACCAAATAACAAACTATGAGAGTTTCGTGCAATTGTTTGTTTGTATGGATAGATTGGCGTACATAACTGTTCTTTTATTAAGCCCTTTATTGTATATTCTCCTCTAAATGAATTAATGAATGACCTTTAAATTAACTATTGATTAGACAATAATTTGAGATCATCTGATGAAAAGTTGTAAGCAACTTATTCTTGTAATTTGCTTAGTTAGTACACTGTTAGATTTGAAATTTCTGTTGTGACTTCCTTTCACTTAAAATCATCAGTACACAAATATGTCTGTTAAATCAAGTCTATCTCGAGGAGATTTAACAACATTAGTTGATCATATAGATTTTGTGGTGTTATATCCGTGATGATGTAATAATCCTACTGATTTATGGGTTCGATAACCACTAGTCACCACATACTTCTAATATCTCCATATCCCACAAAACTGATGATAGAAGTACAGATTGTTCTGTATCACTGAGGATGATTCACTTTTATAATACAAAAGTACCTTAAAATAGAAATATTATATATACCTCAGAAAGTTAACAAATAATCAATCTTATTGATTACTATTATTGTTTCCTTGGGTTCCTAGTGGAACATAGAGAGGGCTTCAACACCACGTCTCCACTTGCAACTTCTGTCTTCCCTTCCGCTGTACTTTTCACCTGCATTCATGTTAGTTAGTCCATACTGTTTCAACCGACTCCTCTTCACACGACTGAGATGGTTAGGACATGCCTAGTCATCGCCTTCCTCGACCGGCGGGCAATGTTAGCTGATATAGTAGGATCAGGCTGGAAAAGAGCTAGCTAATGGAGGTCAAACCAAAACATGACACCATTCAATGAAATCCACAACAGTTTGTTTAAGCCAGTCATGTAAGGAGGTGTAGGCTGGCTTCCTAGTTGGAGTCCCCAAGACGGTAAAAAAACCAATGGCGGCTGAAAAAAACAATTGGTGATATGGCTGAAAATCGTTCTCAATGGCTTGTGCAAAAGCGCATCCACTCCTTGTGACTTGTGATTTCCAATGAAACTATAGTGTTCTTCGTTATTACTATTCTTTTTTTTACCTCACACCCTGTTTACTTTCTCTATTACGCATTTCTCTTTACTTTCTTCTCTTGCTTTGTGTGCTACATGGACGGAGTGTGGCGATTTGAATTGTCGCACACATCAGTGCAAAGTTCTATGTCGAAAACACACAGACAAAGAGACAAACAACGTGATGACTACTAAAACCAATAAACAAAGCTTAGAGCCTTTATGTGCAACACATACGGAAGGCAACGAAATAGAGAGAAGAACACGAAGAGAGACAGAAAGAGAGAGAGAGGGAGTAGCGGTCATCATCTCATATAATTCATAACATTCACATTGCTTGCAGCATAATACAGTAAATACGTCAATTAGTAAATAAATAAATAAATAAATGGATAAATCAATAAGTTGAGTAGTAATAAATGTTCAACTTTATCAGCTAATAAATATACACTAGAAAGTGTTGGAAAACACAGCTGAATGTGAGTAGTATATAAATAAGTTAACTACTAATACTACTAGAAAATAAGAGGTAGGTCAAAGTTTGTCTAAGTGTATCATCTTTCGAGTATAAGAGAAAAGAATGAAAACAAGCAGAAGAAGAAAAAGAGGATAACTGTTATTAATGTACACATATATCAAGATTTCTGTTATTGATTCATAACGGTTCATAAACTGATGCCCTACTATGTCATCTGTTAAGAGATACAACTAAAATAGTAATAATAATAATAATAACAAGAATAACATTGGAAAGGCATTAAAGGCGATTTCAGCTGAATACGTCGAGACGAAAAGCACACACTGAAGCGTAGCAGTTTATTGTTGTTGTTGTTGTTGTAGTACTCGTTGTAGCAGGATTAAGAGCAGCGTTATAGCGTGCTTCCATATATTGCAGACAACATTGCTGTTCGAACCCAGATTTAGTTGAAGTACAGTTAGTAAGTTAGCTAGTTGAGAATTAGATAGGCTACAGGCGATTTACACCGTTCGTTCGTTCCATTTCGCTGTTCATTTCAGCTTATAGCTTGGTATACTGGTGGTCGTGGTGGTAGTAGACGTAGGCGTGTTAGATAGTTTATCTTCAAGAAATATTAAAACTATCGCTTCTAAATGACTTTGATGATTTAAACGGTGTCGAGAATTTGGATAGAACTGATGGAAATAATATAAAAATAAAACAAGAGAGAGAACTAAGACTCTGGTGAAATAATAATAAATAGCATTATATGTGAAATATTTATGGATATTACTTATTATATAGTGTGTATTGAATGGAGTGATGAGAATCTAGACTGTGCCATAATTCAAATTGTAACGACAGGAGACAACGGCGCGGCCAACCAGATCGTTTATTGAGAAAATCAACAGATATTATTTATAGATTTTTATGTACATTATTATTAGCGTTATTGTTAGCAGAGAAACAACGTCTTCCGATTGGTTGTTTTCTTGCTGAAGATTATTCTGTCATCTCTTTATGGCCGTTTCTTAGAAAGTCAGGCCATATCTCTGCGAATCCTACTTGCACGCGTTAAGTCCGCTATAATTGGTTGGTGAATTCCTCAAGGTTAACCTTTGTTATTGTTTTTCCTCATGACCCCGATTCGGGACTTGAACATTGACATGAACTTAATTGGTGTATGGTTACTGACAGTGGAATCCAGAATAGGCACTTCGTTCTATTTAGGACTCATCACTGGATGTACCTGCAGGTACATCTAGATTACGAGTCCCAAATAAGACGAAATGCTCGTCCTGGATTCCACTGTTAGTTGCCATCCACCAATTAAATTCTGATTAAATGCCCAAACATCGTCGAAGCATCTGCACAAGGAGTTGACATGTCAATCTGAGACCAAGCACTTCGGTCCAATCAATCGGCGGGAAAATCTAAAATTCAAGTAAAACTTCTGTTACTCTAAAATCAATGTGAAAATCTTCTGCATTCAGCCTAGCCAGGAGAGTCCCGAGTTTTTAAACACTCATATCAAAGCTAATGCTTCTATTATTTTTATCTTGATTATAGCTTCATTTCACACCGTATTTTTGGTACAAGTATGGAATTTTCAGGGCAAATTTTGCAGGCCAAGCATATAGATATCAGGTGTTTGCGTCGTCAGGGGGTCGAACCCCAGACCATGTGCATGGTCGGCAAGCATTTTACCGCTGTACCGCCGACACATAGAATTGTAGCGCGCTTCACTACCAGAATATGCCACAGGCTAGAGCGGATGTCTATCAACAACTGACTTCGAAAATGTGATACTGAAAATCAGCTGATTCGGTTGGAAAGACATAAAAGGAACGATGAACTCTATCGACGAACCAACGAAGACTTCATCGCGCAGCATATATATATACACAAGGAGACAGAGATGGATTGAGTGAGATATTATACGTCAGTCAGGCCGTCGAGTAGAACTTCAATAGAGAACTATGAGTTAGGCATCGCTTTGAGGGTGAGGGAGATGGGGGGGGCGAGTGCAAATTTATGGGCAATCGTGGAACCAGCTAAGCAAGACAACAGAGAGAACAGAGCAAACTGATGATGTGTTCTTGAAGCCCTATACTCCCCTTTAAACACCAGAGAATAATAAGGAAATAAGAATAATTTAAACAAAATATTATCACTATAAATATTTTACCTGAAAATGATGCGGTTTACCAGCAGCTTTCAGTTTTTCAATCAATGATGATGTATGCACAAAGTGGACATTTTCATCTTGACCGCCATGAAATATGTACAAACGATATTCATCATTTGACGGCATATTCGATACATACTGCATTACATTACCTTTCCTGAAAAATAAAGGAAAACACAGGTGAGAGAAAAAACAAAGTTAAATTGATACAGGTTGTTATAGTATAGTGTTCACAAGTCACTGAAATCTATGCATAAAAAACCAATGGCTAAATGGTTAATGAGGTCATTTTGTAACTTGACGTTCCTCTGTTTACTGTCGTGGTTAGGTCGGGTTTACACGCCTGGGTAGATGGAAACAGTTAAGTCGTTGTTTCATTTGAACCCCCTAATTAACTTTCAGACAGCTGTTTTCGTCGCCTGTTAGCATAATTGCGAGTCTATTGTGATTCTTACGCTTTTTTTCTAAGCATTTAACTCTTCATGACTGCAGAATCCTTTAACTTATCAGAGAAATTAATCTTTGTTAAATAAATTCACAAAGTATGTATTCCATCAGCATCGATGTCAAGAATTTTGAATTCTGTTTGAGACAGTGAAATCTTTATTGTGTCAGCAGCAGTCCACGTTGATAGTCTCGTTACAATCAGCAGTTGGCTTAAAACTTGGGCTAGCAAAAGCTTCCATCTCTTGCTATTGCATCGATTTTCTTCATGCATTTATTTCCCTTGATAAATTTGAATAAAGCAAGAACAACAGTGGTGGCGGTTTGTACAGAATAAGAAGATGGTACCATCCTGTGTTTATTTCGTTGGCTTCTCATCACCTGCCACTTCCCGACCGAAAGCTGCTACCTTGACGTGGTGGTCGGGCTTGAACACCGCAATGATCTATTCAAGCTATACTGGCTGAGACTTATGTCTCTTCAGGTCCTACCATGCCAGGCAGGTTGTTTGGATAGCGGTTAAACAAAAAGCAGCTACCCAATCCAACATCATGATAAATACAAAATCACAAAATTTCATGCCGGATCGACCGTGGCCCGGATTAACAACGACCGCGCTTCCTGCTGCCGTGTCACAGGACAGAAGTGATAAATATGCTACTGAGGCACACCAAACAAAAAAAGAACGAACAAAAACAGGCCGCGTGTGACCGGCCTCAAGCAGTTGTCCCCTGGGCTCTGCGGTCACGCAACCAACTTCCACGGTGTGGGCAACCGGGAAGTAACAATCGCCCTCACAATCCGAAACGCACGCAAACACCTAGATAATTTATGAGGTTCATGGACAGAAAAGTTTGAACACACTTGCAAATTTTTCATGGTGTCAGTTGACAAAATGTTCCACAATAATGTGAACAGTGCTCAGAAAATTGTACTTATATAATTTTTACGCAGGCAGTTCAAGCTTAAACAAAATGAACGTATGCATACAATGGTGAAGGAGTTACGTAATAAGGACGAGAGATGCGTAAGATGCAGAGTGACTAATAAATTAAATAACACGGTATTGAGTTCAACTCAAATCATAGAGACAAGAAAAATTATAAATTATAAAACGGGGATGAGGTTAAAGACAAAGATTACGTAATCAGGTGAGAGAATAAAGATGATATTCAGTTACAATGGTGGCAAGAAAAGACTAATAAGTGCTTTCTGAGCACACAGATTGGGTTTCAGGCGCTTGATGGAGATGACTTCAGCAAACTTCAGGAGAATTGAACTTTTTTGCCTATTGATAATTTTGAACGACCTTGCGACGTCCACCTCATGACCCGTGTTAAGGAGATACACTGTTTAGAGCATTTGTTCCTTGTAGACATAAGGTTTTCGGTACATGTTAAGAAAATCGTAGATATGCCCTTTTTTCTGTTCTTCCAATGTATCTGCTCCCGCAGATACATGTAAATTTGTATATACAATTGGAATTGTTAACGTGAGAAGGATATCTGTCGATTTTTGATTGCACCAAAGAGCAAGATATTTGATACACAGGAACGACCTTATCTGCAGGATAGGCTCCGGTTAGTGATGTACTCAATCTTCTGTAGACAATTGCCGTAATATGTTTCACCTTTATAATCCAGTTGAATGAAGAGATGCTTTTTTCCACTGTGATTTATTTGACATTTGAGACTTCATATCTTCCATATCTGTTAATGAATCTCTGGGGGTAACCGTTGTTTTTCAACACCTTTTCGAGAATCATAAATTCTTCCTCTAGTTCCTCTGCAGAGCTTATTCTCCTAGCTCTGAGAGACAGAATCTTGCCTAGTGCTCGTTTATAGCTATTTGGACAAAAGCTGTTAAAATGTAAGTATTTTCCATTCCATAGCAGCTTTCAGTAAATTGACCTCTGGAGACTACCATCTTCTAGGCGTTGCATGGCAATGTCAAGGAAATGGAACTATCCATCCTTTCCATGTGCCATAGTAAATACAATATTTGTATGTGCGTTGTTGAATAGTGTCTGAGTAGGTAGGAGGGCATGACTTTCGCTGTTGCACACTACAAATGTGTCATCAACAATATCGACAATAAGAAGTTGTTTGGTCGTTTGCATGCATCTATTTTCTCTCTCCTTCAGTTTGTTTCATTCGATTAAGACATGACCTCTAATGGTATTGTCTACTCTTGTGTGTGTGTGTGTGTGTGTGTATTTAAAATGTTTACAAGCTTCTGATTCGCAAATTCTTACTAAAATTGAGGAATGGCCTGATTGTGTGTGTGTGTGTGTGTCAACATGCGTTAACTGCTCTTCTGTTAAATCCTTGGGTCTCAAAATATACTTCTGAACATCTTAAAAATTGACTGTCAACTAGATATCGTGGATTTCTTGAAGGAAGGAGAAATAGCAGATATACATATCATAATGGAGTGTGGTTTGTGCTTCATCAGCTCAGAGACTATTGTGTCACACACACACACACAGAATATACTGTCAGCTAATTTTTTACTTGAAGATATTGATAGCACGAAGGGAAAATATCATACGTTAAACTCCTCTGAAAATTCCCAACATTTTATAAATACCGTCTAAATTAAAAAGTTGTTATTATTATTATTGTTATTGTTGTGATTAGTGATTACAGTGGATATCTTTTGGCTTGTTAGGTTCATATCACATTTGCATTGTGATAAGTCGCATTACCAGCAACATTGACTAACTATAAACATAAAACTTTGTACAGATGTGCAACAGTTCCAGTTGCCACTCTCCCTTCATGTACCATACAAAACATGAGAAGAAAGTAAAAAGAAATGCAAAATAAAGACAGTAAACAGAAATATGAGGCAAAAAGAAGAATAGTAATATGGAAGAACAATACAGTTATTTTGGATATTATAAGTCACAAGGAGTGGATGCATCCTCACCATCATTGAGAACGATTTTGAGCTATATCACTAATTGTCTCTAGCCTTCATTGACCGTCGCGAGGACCCCAATTAGCCAGTCGGAGAGTCTGTATGTCCCTATGTGGCTGTCTGGCTGACTTAAACTAACTGTTGTGGATTTCATTGACTGATGAAGTCATGTTTTCATCATGACCCCCCCCCACCACCACCAGCTGGCTCTTATGAAAACCTGATCCATCCTATGTCAGCAAACATCGCCCATTGTCGAGGAAGGTGATAGATGGCTAGGCATGCAGGAGCAACGCATATCCTAACCATCTCAATCATTGTAATTCCCTAACACGTCGTCGATCGATCAACTTTCCCTCCTTACCTAGGACTCGACCGATACCTAACCTCAATATTGGTCACCTTATTATGCCATTTTATAAGGGGAGATAAAATGCAGGCAGCTATGATCAAAGACAGTTAACTAGTCAACCTTTCATGTCTTTCACTTTCAATGGCCATGTCTCAGTCACAGAGATAAAGGAGGATGGAGCCGGATATCACATCTACACCAGAGACGGCATAATTCGCAGAAAATGAATGTATCTTCGCTATTTGAGTACAATTTAAAACCCTATATCACCAACTGTCTCCAGCCACTGATTCATAAAATCCTGAGAACTTCAAGCAGGCAGTTACTACCTATCTAAGTGACTGAAACCAGCTACCAAAGACTGTGTACTGCTCAGCAGTTCGCTCCGCCCTTCTCTATGGCTCTGAAACATGGCCAATACGAGTTGTTGAAGACATGAAAAGGTTGACTGCTTTCGATCATAGATGTCTGCGATCTCTGTCTCACGTTAGGTGGTTTGATAAGGTAAGTAATGTTGACGTTAGGCGTAGAGTGTTGGGTAAAGAGGGAAAATCAATCGACGAGGCTATAAAGTTACATAGACTAAGATGGCTAGGTGACGTGCTGCGCATGCCTAACCACCGCCTCCCCCGACGGGCATTGCTAGCTGATATAGGTGCAGGTTGGAAAAGAGCCAGTGGTGGCCAAACAAAAACATGGCCTCATCAATCCATGAAATCCTTGACAGTTAAACTGAGTCAGGTAGGGAGATGCAGACTCCCGGGTTGGGGGCCTCGGGACTGACTCTATGAATCAATCAATGGCTGGAGACAATAGGTGACATGGCTCAAAATCGTTGTCAATGGCCAGCGCAGATGTATTCAGTCCCTGTAATCTTTCATATTCCTTTCTACCATTACCCATTCTGTTTCACTCTCATACTTACCAAACTCTATTGATTCACTTCACTCATCTTCTTGTCTACCTTTTTGTGCTATTTGGAACGTGGCAACTCGAACTGGTGCACTTCGGTGCGAAGTTCTATGTTGAATCCAGACAGACAGACCAAAGACTTGATGCATCGAGTTCAAGTATTTTTGTTTGACCACCACTAGTTCTTTTCCAAACTGATTATATATCAGTTAAAATTGCTCGACATGGGGGTAACACGTGCTCTAGCTATCTCAACTTTATAACATCATCGATTGACATACCCTGTTTAGCTAACACTCCACGTATCACCATGGTAATACTCATTATATTATATCACTTCATATGAGAGATGGAATGCAAACATCTGTGGTCAAAGACAGACAGTTTTTTCATGCCTTCCACTCTCAATATGCATATTTCACATTATTATATATGTGTTAAACTTGGGCACTGTGGTAGTAAGTAATTCCATATTAGTTTGTTTATTAGATAGGTCACACAGTGAGTGAAACAGTATTAGTATTATTTACCGGATGACACAGTTTCGAACACAGTTTATTACTGTTCACAATCATATCAATTGTAATCACACAACTTTAAAACTTGAGTTTTATAGTTTTCTATGTTCCCTTATATTTGTCATCGTAGGGGTAGTAGAATTTTTCGAGATATCTGATCGGACAGGTGTTGAATTATTCCTATTACACATATTTGCAGTTGATTTGATAAACAAAGCTTATGTTATCAATCTCTCCCTCCACATCACTTTTATATCATATTTTGAAATTGTCATCCTATCCCATTCCATCGTATTGTATGGTTATGTGTAATTGCATGTAGTGAGTGCTATAGCTGTTCAACTATTCTCTAGACTTCTTGTCTTATTCGGATCAACTAATCTAGATTTTGTTAGGCTTTTATGCTCGGCTAGTCTGACTGCTCCTGTTCTACTACTTCGACCTATATATTTGACCTGACAACTAATTCCAGAAGGGTATTAGACAAACTAAATTGTTTTCTTTTATTGGCTTCACAGGATTATTTAACAGACAAAGCTTGTTTCTAATTGAGTTTGTGGGGGTGTTTGAATGCCAGCCACTTTCATTCCTCCTCTGTTAAGAATTCTCCATAAGGTTTCCGAGGTTCCTTCTTTGCATAGGAGTCCTACTGATACCATACTTCACAAGCATAGAAAAGGACAGAGCACACTGCTATGCAATCCACACCCTCTTTGATCGATAGCCACCCCAATGGAGCAAAAATACGATCGATTAAACTATCCAATATAAAAACGAAGTTGTATAGATAGGGGAAAAAAAGAAGAAGAAGAAGAGTACAAACTTACTTATAAGCGTCTGGATTATCCTCGGGTAGACCAATATATCGTTCGGTGTACGCTGAATCATACAGTGCCCAGTCAACAACTGGTGACACAGCAATAGCTGCTCTATATACATGATGATATCTTACTGCAGCCATCAGAGACATATAACCACCTAGAAGAAGTGAGAGTAAAAAAAGTGTTGTACAGAATACTTTAGAAACTTTATGCATTTATTTCCCTTGATAAATTTGATGATGAAAGCAAGAACAACAGTGGTGGCGGTTTGTGCAGAATAAGAAGATGGTACCATCCTGTCTTTATTTCGTTGGCTTCTCATCACCTCAGCTGCTTACAGCCTAAATAAATTATGAGGTTCATGGACAGATAAGTTTTAACATACTTGCAAATTTTACATGTTGTCAGTTGACAGAAAGTTCCACAATTAGTAAACAGTGTTCAGAAAATTGCGCTTATATAGTTTTTACACAGCCGGTTCAAGTTTAAACAAAAATAAATGTATGCATACAATGGTAAAGGAGTTACGTAATAAGACGAGAGATGCGTTAGATGCAGAGTGAATAATATATTGGGTAACAATGTACTCAGTTCAACTCAAATCATAGAAACAAGAGACAAGCAAAATTACAGATTATAAAAGGGGGTTGAGGTTAAAGACAAAGATTACGTAATCAGATGAGAGAATAAAGACATCCAGTTGCCAGGGCAAGGAAAGACTAATAACTGCTTCTTTCTGAACACAAATAAATCGGGTTTCAAGCGTTTGATAGAAATTGCTTCGGCAAACTTGAAGAGAATGGAGCTCTTTTGTCTATGATAATTTTAAAAGATTTCTCGATTTTCACCTTATGACCCGTGTCGAGGAGATGCCAGGTAATAGCGCTACTATAAGAGTTTGTTCTCTTGAGGCGTAGGCTTTTCGGCACATGTTCAAAAAGTCGGAGGTGTGCCCTTGTTTCTGTTCTCCTAATGTAACTGCTCCCGCAGATACATGTAAATTTGTAGACACAGTTGGAGTTAACATGAAACAGGTATCTATCGAATTTGACTGCACCAAAGAGCATGTTGTTCGATGGACGGGAACCAACTTAGCTGCAAGATAGGCTCTGGCAAGTGACGTTCTCAGTCTTCTGTTGACCATTTCTGCAATGTTTTCACCTTTAAAATCTAGTTGAATGAAGACGCATTTTTTAAACTGTGATTTGCTTGATATATGAGTCTTCACATCTTCCATATTTGTTAATGAATCTTTGTTTTTCAGTACCTCTTCGAGAATCGTAAATTCTTCCTCTAGTTTTTCTGCAGAGCATATTTTCCTCGCTATATAGTACAGAGTTTTGACTAGTGCTCGTTTATAGCTATTTGTAAAATTTGCAAGTATGTTAAAACTTGATATCAGCATAAAACTTGGGCACTGTGGTGGAGTATAACTCCATTATGGATAAGATCTTATCCATAATGGAGTTATGTTAAAACTTTTCTGTACTTAAACCTCATAACTTATCTAGGCTGTAAGCAGCTGAGCTGATGAGAAGCCAACGAAATAAACAATGATGGTACCATATTATTCTGCACAAACCACCACCACTGTTGTTCTTGCTTTATTTGAATACTTTAGAGTTAGTACGACATCCATCCATGATCCACCACAGTGAAATGACGATATGATTACCTACCTGGGTCTCATAGGTCAGATCGTAAAGTGCAGAAGGGCAGGAATCCGGAGGAAGTCGGTTTGAATCTTTTCTAAACTCAGATTGTCACAAAAAATGTCACAGGTATAATCACAGTTATACTCCTTTTTATCTTTATTATTTTTTTTAAACAACTGGTATGAACAGTACTCAAAAGTGAAAGTCGTTTCAGATTGACTACCTAATTATTTAGAACATAGTTATTCGTGTGGCTACGCCCTCATAGACTCTGCCAGCCAGGTAAATCCTATTCACTGGCTTCACGTGAAACGGGCATTCCTCACGAAGGTCATGTCACTTCTGTGATTCGAACCCACGTCACCCATTACTGTAGTCAGAGATGTTACCACGTTAAGCAGTTGAAGATTACACAAGTGAAAGAGAGAATCATTGCGAACCGAAGAGCACTAGAAAGCCATTTCCTCCTGGTTTTGAACTTATCCATCGTGTTCAATAACGACCCTACCAGAAATCGAATCTAGAAAGGTGAAACCATTGACCACGATAGGGTTGTCGACAGGCACTGTTGCATAAGCCCAAACTGCGAAGAAACAGCTGTCCAGTAAGTATCCCTTGGTTTGCAAATGATTTTCTAACCGATGCCAAGATGGTGCTACCAGATATATATACCATAAAATCATTCAAAATTTTTATGAAAGACAAAAACTAAAAATCATACTCTTAACTAACATCTCAACTGACGTACCAAATGAATAGCCCATAATTGCAACACGTGAAAGATCAATTAAACCAGTGGCTTTCGCAGCATATTTTAGAAAGGCGACATGATCGTCAAGTTCTACCTGACCCTAAAATAAAGTGGAAAGAATCGAGAAGTGTGGATTATTGACTTTATTTCAATGTTTCTATCATAATGAACAAAAAATAAAACTTCATGTAGGTAAATAACCTGGGTTCTAGTGGGAAATCGTGACCAGTAAGATGCAGCAGGTAGGGTGTCGCGCTATGTCATGAATTGGCAGAAGTTGGAATTCATGGGCTAAACATTGGATCGGGTCCCAATGGTTGATGAATAATCTACGAGCTCGCTAGCCTTGTAACCAGAAGGTCCTGGGTTCGAACCCTGGCGGTGTATGCATACTGATGAAGAGCCCCAAACTAGGACGAAACAGCTGGCTGTCCAATACTCCCAGGTAGTATTCCAATGTTTCTCTACCCGATGTTAGCTCATGACGAAATCTTGTAACCAAACTGCAAAGATGAAGAGCGTTTAATGCAATTATTATTCCCCATTGTGACAACAGTATCATTTGTTTCTATCCTGACTGACTGACTGGTTTCAACAAAGAACTACTTTGCACTGATGTGCACCAGTTCGAGTTGCCACAGTCTCTCCATGTAGCACACAAAGTAAGGGAAGAAAGTAAAAAGAAAAGCGAAATAGAGACAGCAAACAGAGGTATAAGGTAAAAAGAATAATAATATCGGAGAACAATATAGTTTTATTGGCTATGAGAAGTCACAAGTAGTGGATGCATCTGCGCAAACCATTGACAACGATGAGTTTGAGCCATATCACCGACTGTATCCAGCTTTCATTGGCTTTTACCATCCCGAGGACCCCGACCAGTCAGGGAGTCTACACCTTCCTACATGGCTTAAACTAATTGTTGTGGATTTAACTGACTGATGAAGCCGTGGTTTCATTAGATCACCACTGGCTCTTTTCTAACCTGACCCTATGTCAGCTAACATTGCCCATCAGTCGAGGAAGGCGATGGCTAGGCGTATGCATACGTAACACATGTCCTAACCATATCTGTCGAAATAGCTTCACAGCTTCGTCTATTGATTTCCCGTCCCACCTACCTAGCACTCGACCGATACCTAATCTCAATATTGCTCACCTTATTATACCAATTCACACGAGATTGAACGCAGGCATCTATGATCAAAAACAGATAGTCTTTTCATGTCTTCCACTTTCAATGGTCATATCTCTTTCACAGCCATAAAGAAGGACGGAGAGGACTGCTGAGCAGTACACACGCCTTTTGGTCGACAGCCAGCCGGTTATCACGTCTAATCGAGAGACGGCGTAAACTGGCATATGCGAAACTAGCCTTCTGTATTCGTTCTGAGATTTCGTCCACGATCAACCCATTGATTGTGAAACATAACTGATAAAAGTAACGATTTTTATTGATGAGTGTATGAGTTCAACTTGTCATGTTCGTTGGTGGTGCAATATAATCAGTATTTATGGGATAACACCTATATTGAGTGATAAGAACCGAAATTCAATCGATAAAATTGTGAACTTGAAATGCGACTGAGTTGAAAAAGAGTTATGAATAGTCAGACGGAAACACAAAACTTATCCACCATGGAATATTTGACAGTTAGTTGGTTTGAGCCATCTAGAAAGCTGTGAACTGCATGGCTAGGGTCCTTGAAATGCTAGGAATCAATAGTTAGAGACTACTAGTGATACACCTTGAAGCTGTTCTCGATGGAGAAGATGTATTTACCCCTCACTATCATCCAGAATCTAGAAATTCTCACTCATCTTCTTATATATTATCGTCTATCGTAGTTTTAATAGATTAACTTCCTCATATTGGATAGATGAGCATTTTTGCTGAGTTCTACATTCGTAATTCGGTTTATTATTATTATTATTAATATACTGTTATCAATACTATTGTTGCTTCAGACATAACCTCAATATGTATCTGCAGCCCAGGCATTCGACTGTTAACTGCAATGTCAGGAGATCATAAATGTACATCCAACATTTGTTATATTTGTTGACCTGAAGGCACCCTTTGGTTCTGTTGATCAAGGGGTACCCGTGGCTGTCTGTTCGGGAAGGGAGCGTTGAGAAAGCATATTGCACTAATCAGGGCAACCTATTTGAACTCATGTAGCTGTGTAAGAGGCATGGAGAGTTTTCATCTGAAGTGATGACAGCCAATGGTGTACAACCACGGATGTCCACTGTCTCCATTTTGGTTTAACTTTACGAGAATTCATCATAACTAACTTAGGGGTTAGCCTGTTACCAGGGTGTCTTAGAGTATACAGAGGATACTTTCTTCCTTCCAAGGTGAAGACGCTAATAAGATGCACAGCTATCTAAAGTGATTGACCATGGTCGACTTCAGCCGCTTACGGATTGACTTGTTAGTTACCTCATCATCTATCACATTGTACAGAAATCTCCGTATGTTTGGCATGCTATTCACCCTTGTTCAATGTAAGACGATGCTGCAGAACTGATCTGCACCGACGTGTAGTTTACAGATAGGCAGTTAATAGCTGATCGTGTTGACTAATTCACTTGTTTAAGAAGTTTCAGTATTCCTAATGGACTGACTGCTGACAAGATATCAACTTGAGTATACCAGTAGGCTCATCTATCTATGTTCGAATTCCGTTACATTTGGCGTAGGTGTGATACAAGGTATCCATCTAAGGATATTTTTTACTGCACAGCAGTTCTCCTCGCTCCGACTCTATTTATGGCCGAGACGGCCATAGCAAGATGAAGAAATGAAGACAGACGTCTTCGACTACTTGCGACTGAGTATAATATGGTCAGTAATAATGACTGCATATTTAAAATATTAGGTAACGAGGGAAAGGTAGTCGATGAAGTTGTAAAGTTGTACCAGTTAAGATGACCAGGAGATGCATTACTCATGCACGCTATTACCCCCTCCGTCGACAAATGTTATCTGACATAGAACTGGGTTAGAAAAGAGCAAGAGGTAGTCAAATCGAAACATGACATTCATTCGTGAATTCTTTGACTAATAGTTTAACCCACGTAGGGAGGGAGATGAGGACTACCTCGGTTGGACGTCCTCCGGATACTAGGAATTAGTGATTGAAATTTGATTTTCGAAGTTTCAGTAGTGGTCATGTGTTTTACGGGGTGGAACTACTAGTCTCACACCCAACCTTTCCTCTTTACTGGGTTTACTAGCGGTTATGCGAAGTTTAGGAGTGTGTCAGTCAGGAATTGAATACAAACCACGGGGGGGGGGTGGTTGTAGAATATTGTACGACTGAACCATCGATGTACGCAGTGTTACTTACGGCTGATTTGCAAGTCTGTAACAAAATGTACAAAATATTCAGCAACAATATTCAACTTACCATACGATTTTTAATATAACCGTCAAAGTGAATACCACGATTTGCAGAACCACGACAATCACACAAAAACACCGCATAACCATAATGACAGAATAATTGAGCGTGGGCGAATCTAAATTATTTTTGGTGAAAACAAGGAATAATATTTTACAAGTTATAATCAAAAACAACTAAAACAAGTAACATTTGAAATTTAACCTGTGACTTGCGTTACTACTGATAAGATTTATAACTAATCCTTACAAACCAAAACTATAGAAAGTTAATCTGATGCTCGCTAGTGACTTGCTACAGGTTGGAGTTTCCTGAGTTCTTGTGAGAAGTCGTGACCAGTGAGGTCCAATTAGATGTCGCGTGTGTGGATGGATGTCCAACCAACAACAATGGTTGGGGTCGCGCTAAATCACGAATTGGTAGAAGTTAGAATTCACGAGCCATTGAATCGGGTCCCAGTGACTGAATGGTATACGAGCCAGCTTGCCTTGTAACCGGAAGGTCCTGGGTTCGAATCCCAGTGGGTGCGTACTGCCGATGATTTCCAAACTGGGATGAAACAGCAACTGTCCAGTACTCCCTGGTTTTCAATGGTTCTCTAACTGATATCAATCCGTGATCAACTTGTAAAACATAACTAATCCTTACAAACCAAAACTATAGAAAATTTATAAGTAGTATTAAAGTACACACATAAAAATGTCTATCATCTGCAAGACTATCGAATAGCGGAGAGATGAATTTAATGGAAATAAAAAGGAATGAACGATGTTTGCGAAAAAACACGGCAAATATGAAAGGAAGACAAAGAAGTACAATATGGAAAACAAAAGTAGTACAATGCCGAAGATATGTGCGAATTGTGATTCCAATGTATGATAGACGTATTTTGCCTATATCTACACATCGAGTCGCCAATAAAGAATATCGTTAGCAAACATTCTTGTGTCTCCCTGTTTTAAATCTTCTGCCCGTTGGTGATAGACTATGGTATGGATTTTAACGTAGTTCTGCCGAGAAGTCGTCACTGGTGGAGTCCACTAAGTAGAGTATGAGGGGGTATATTTGCCGACAAGACTAGACGCCGCTGGTGCGAATTGACACAAGATGAACCTAAAGGATCAATGGGTTCCTCCTAATCGACGGTTTAATGACTGACGGAAAAGCCTTATGGTCTTAAGGTCTTATTTTAGGTTCATAGGAGAGTTGGTGGAGTGCACTATCCAAGAATTCAAAACTAGAACGGCACACCTGTTGAATGCCCTCTGATTCTCACTTGTTTCCTAAAAAAGTGTCGGTTCGTCACTTTATGAATCTAACCTTTGACGGTTAGACTGACATCATGACAACGGCTGACATCAATGAAATTGATATATGTCCATATAGGTTTTGTTTTGGGCATTTTCACTAACGATCAGAAGCTATTCAGTGGAACATGATCAGTGTTCGGTTATGACTTCATATAAGATGAATGTATTCACATTCAAAAGATATAAGCAGTTGTTAGGTTAGGACGAGTGGGTTTATAGGTCACCCTTATTAAGGCGGCATAGTTCATTGCTATGTAAACTTAATGATATAAATGATATATAATTTTTTTATGTTTGGCATTAAGTTATGAATTAAAAAATTTTTTACGATTTCTTCTTAGTCTGTAGCAGTGAATGTTGGTTGATGGTCAAATCTAGGCGTCAGGTCTGAAAGTTAAACATGTATAATTACCGCTTCATAATTTTCTGATACTATGTATGGCCAACTACACAAGAAACACTCCATTTTTATTCGTGCCACAAATGCGCTCGTTCAAAATGGAGTGATTATAATAATAATTATTATAATAATTATTATTATTCCCTTGGGTTCCGAGTAGAACACAGATCTTCAGCAGAACATCTCCATATCACTCTGTTCACTGCAGTCATTCTTAGCATGACTCCACGATTGACTATAGGCTTTCATTCACCCCCCCTCACAACACTATCTACTCCATGTCAACGTAGGACTTATGTCCAATCCGTCGTTTCCCATTCACGTCTCATTGAATGGTCTGTCTAGTATGTGATGTCAATCACAGGTATCTTCAATGCATGTCTATTTCATCCATACTATATTGGACATTTTTGTTGGGCAACAGTTCCTTGGTTGGTTCGTTCCCATAGTTTCTTATCACTTATCGTTTACAATCGACCATCTGATCTTTAATATTCAAGTCTTAGTTTGTAGGAATTTGATTTGATCTTCAGTACCCAAGTCAGAGAAGCCAGCTGTTGATGACAGTCTGTGGTAGTCTGATGGAAATGCTTTCCACGATGTACATGGCAAGTTTCTGAACCATGTAGAAGCTCTAACATGATGTCAGTGTTGAAATGAAATCGGATTTTGTTCCTTATGCTGAGATGAGTGCAGCAGATTTCCACACTTGATTACAGCGTAATCAAAATCTGTCTTGCTTTTCCGATCCTGTCTTAGACACGTCCATCCGATGCTACCTAGGTGAGTGAAATAGTTGACTTTCTTTAGGTTTCTCCCATTGACGCCATAGTATATATCCGCTGACTGTTTCACTGTCTTCTCAGTCAGTCAGACAGACTTCTGTATCTACTTCACTATAGGAATAGTATTCATGTAATCAGTTGTATATTGTTGTGTTTAGTAAGCATGAAGTCGAATCCAGCATTGCTCTCCATTATAACGGTGTAATATTACGCCCAAAATACATAAACTGATATCCTACAAGTCACTAGCCAGAGCCTATGTGCAATAAAGAAAGTCATGCTTCCCACTTACTCAGATTATTCACATGACGCAGATACAAATATTGAATTTACTATGGGACATGAAACTGATAGAAAGTTCCACCTCCTCAATATTGCCATGCAACGCCTACAAGACGGTAGTCTTCAAAAGTCAATTTATCGAAAGCCTACTTGGAAAGGACAATACTTACATTTTAATGGCTTTGTCCAAATAGTTTTAAACGCGGACTAGTCAAGAATCTATCTATACTATAGAGCTAGGAGATTATGCTCTATAGAGAAATTAGAGGAAGAATTTGTGTTTCTCGAAAAGATGTCGAAAAGCAATGGTGACCCTCAAAGATTCATAAACAAGTACGGAAGACCTGAAGGCTCAAATGTCAAGCAAATCACAGTGGGTAAAAAGCCAATCTACATTCAGCTTGATTATAAAGGTGAAAACATTGCAGCAATGGTCAACAGAAGATTGAGTACGTCATTAGCCAGAGCCTACCTTGCAGATAATCTCGTTCCCGTCTATCGAACGAACAGCTTGCTTTTTGATGCAATCAAAAATCGACAGATATCCTTCCCATGTCAACAATTCCAACTGTGTATACAAATTTACATGTATCTGCTCCCGCAGAAAAACAGAAAGAAGGGCATATCTACGATTTTCTGAGTATATACCGAAAACCTTATGTCTACAAGGAACAAATGCTCTAAACAGTGTATCTCCTTAACACGGGTCATGAGGTGGACGTCGCAAGATCGTTCAAAATTATCAATAGGCAAAAGAGTTCAATTCTCCTGAAGTTTGCTGAAGTCATCTCCATCAAGCGCCTAAAACCTGATTTATGCATTTAAAAAAGAAGCAGTTATCAGTCTTGCTGTGCCCTCCCTGGTAACTGGATATTTTCACCTTTCTTTTATCTTGATTACGCAACGCCGAGAGTTTCTGTTGTGTATGAACATTATTGTTCGGAATGCATATATTGACTGATTGATTTTTGTTTAAAAATGAACTCTGTGCAAGTATGTTGATGATGTTGCTGATGAGAAGTCAACAAGATAAACAATGACGGTACCATCTTCTTATTTTGCAAAAACCACTCACTGTTGTTCTTGCTTTATTCAAATTCATTAAGGGGAATAAATGTATGAAATCAATATTCCATAAATAAAATGTAATTCGATACACTAGATACAACAAAATAGATGTTCAATTATACCAACTCACTCATTATTCACTCCACAACCAAACGAACACACACACACACATACACATGCACAAAATAATCAAAAAACTTACACTGATCTCGAATAACTACCACGAACTAGCTGGATTCCAGGACCACCATAGACAAAATGTACAGTTGGATAACCATTCATTAATCGACTATGATTATAATTTGGTATAAATAATTGTCCATAGAGAATTGACTGTGGATCATTAAATTCCACATAATTTGACGATACTACTGATAATTTGTTATTATTCATGTCTAAATTATTAAATATATCACATCGAAGTATCATAGGTGGATTAGTCGGTTGAAAACCATTGTAGGCATTGTAATGAGACACTGTGGAGAGAGAGAGAGAGAGATGAGAAGTACAACAGTTGAGAAGATTCGTAGCTCAAGTTGGTTCTCTGACCTGGTTGATTTAATTGTGAAGCTTTCGTTGTCCACCATCTAGACAACATCTTCAGCGCAGATTTTAGTATGAAATGAATTCATTTGAATTCACTTCGTAATAAAACTTGCGCAGAAGATCTTGCCTAGAAGGTGGACAACGAAATCTTCGCAATTATATCAACTAAATCGAAAAGTACAATCAACAAGAACTAATACAAAAGCGACATATGAAAATAAGTTTTAATTGGGATGATTTATTAATATTATTATTATTCCCTTGTGTTCCGAGTGGAACATAGTTGGGCTTCAACAACACATCTCCACTTTGTTCTATTTTCTGCCGTTCTCTTCAGTTGGTTAGCTCCACGATTGACCGAAATCTCTCATCTCTTCTTCATGCGATCTCCTCCATGTCACACTGACCATCCACTCGTCGCTTCCCATTGAGATTCCACCCGAAGGACCTCCTCAATGTGTGCTCCATAAATCCATCTCCAATTTCTCCTACATATTTGTTGAGCGATCGACTCTTGCTCATTGGTTTGTTCCATTGGCGAGTTTCTTGTTGCTTATTCTTTCTGGTCATTTAAAATCTTCAGTATGGAGCCAGCGAAGTGGGCAGCTGTTGACAAAAGACTGTAACTGCCTATTGGAAATCCTTTTTGTGACACGCTGGGCCAAGTTTCTGACCCGTATAAAAGAACCGACTTCACATTGGTGTTGAAAATGTGAATCATGTTCCTTATGCTGATTCATTGCAGAAGATTTCCAAACTGGTTCCAGGTTGATGAAGGCGATTCTGGCTGGCTGATTTTGACACCTTCGTCCGTCCCGCCTCGCCTGTAGTTGGAACTAATGCTGGCTGACTAGATAAATTGAATCTCTCTTGTTGGTGGTGACTGGTACTGGTTGTTGTTGTTGTTGTTGCTGTTGATTGGTTGTCTTCATCACCTCTGTCTTCTCTGTATTCATCTGCAGTCCTGCTTTCATTGCCTCTTCACAGCCACTTTGTTGGTTTTCGCTTGCAAGTCTTCGAGTTTGTGTGACACTAGACATAATATCATCTGCGAAATCCGTATCTTCTAGAGTCTTCTTATCGGCCGTCCAGCGTATTCAATTTTCAAGAGTTTGTTCGCGGGTATTTGACTTGTTTCCAGTTTGACCACGTATTGATATCAGTTAGAGGTGTAGACTTCCAGGCTGGGGGTCCTCGGGACGGTAAAAATCTATGGTTGGAAACAATTGGTGACATGGCTCAAAATCGTTCTCAGTGGCTAGCGCAGATGCATCCACTCCTTGTGACTTATGATCTCCAATGAAACTGTTTTGTTCTTCGTTACTACTCCTCCTTTGTCTCACACCTCTGCTCACTGTTTCTATTATACTTTTCTTGTACTTACTTCTCTTGCTTCGCGTGCTACACGGAGTGTGGCGACTTGAACTTCGCACATTTGTGCAAAGTTCTATGTCGAAAACAGACAGACAGACAGAGAACCATTGAATACCACCAGCAGAGACTAATGTACAGATAGCTGGCTGTTTCGTCCTAGTTTGGGACTCATTGGCAACCACCGAGTTTCGAACCCAGGACCTTCCGATTCCACGGCAAGCTCGCAGACTCTTCAGCCACTGGAACCGGACTCAATGGCCCATGAATTTTAACTTTTTACAATTAATATAATTAATTGCGTATTAATCAACCTTTTCAAAGTTGAGGCACAGCGGTTAAGACTCTCGCCGACCACCATCCACATGGTTCAGGGTTGGATCACCTGCCGACTCAAACACCTGATATAGCAATGGTCAGTCTGCGAAATTCGGGCTACCGATATCACATGCTGAAAATTCCATACTTGTACCAAAAATATGGTATGGAATCAGGCTTTAACCAAAATTAAAAAAAGAGAACATTTTACTTTCATCTTTTTGCGTCCTAAGTGGCATAAAGAGCTTTAAGTTTGAGGTTTGAAATTGCAGTATCAGAGATGTTCTTTCTACGGGTTGTGGCTGTTAGCCTCACACACACTCAACCTTTCTTTTTTACTGGAGTACCATTTTTAATTCCTTTACGTTCCCAATGGAACATGGGGCACCTTCAAGCTAGAGGCTTGAAGTTTCGGTAGCAGTGATATTTATTTTTCCGGGATGGTGTTTCTAGCCAGCCTAATGCCCAACCTTCCCTCTTTACCAGACTTATTACTGGTAAAGGAGTGGGTCGACCGGGTATCGAACCCTAAACCACATGCAGCGTGGTTGACGAGCATTTTACGGCTGTGTGCCACCTACGCTTTACAGGAGTTACTATCCGCTAATCAATATTTATGATTGTAATGGCCTGGGGTCGAACCCTGAACCACATAGTGTTTGAGTGGTTTGTTGATGAGATACTACCACCTCTGAACTATCGACGCACAACGGAACCTTTAGTTCAATAGACATTATAAAATGAGAACAAGACGAAAAAACAACGCTGTACTTACCATGTTTACGTAACCATCCAATATGTTGTAGAATAGGTTTATGTTGACGATTCTCATGATCACTATTATTCATCATCCTCATCATCGTAATACGGCAAACTTGAATACCAATTAATTTATCTAAACTACTTGATTCAATTATCATAATACCATAGTTTGGATTGAATGCACTCACTTCATAGGATAATGGATAAGGCTTCAGGTGGGATTTAGCATCAGAAAAGTATGGATCTAAAATATTTGATTGATTTATATTTACAGGCATGGATGATGGTAATGATGATGAGAGTGATGAAATGTGTTCATCTTCAACAGTTTCTACTTCTGTAGAATTATTAGTAGTCAATGAAAGTTGAGCGGTCAAGCAGGATAGACAACCACGATCTTCATTTGCATAACTGACACAATATCTAAGTAAAGATGGCAAAAAGAGGTAAAGGTGCGAGGAAAAGCGGAAAAAGGGTGATATATTATGTATGCAATGAAACTGTAGCCCACTAATATAGGCGCGCTTGACTTCTAATCCCCTGGCTTCTATAAACGATCTGGTATGACCGAGGGTGAGTTGACTCATGTAGACACACATGCATAGCTTTTGACACTGCATTCACGCGGAAGGGGTATATTCCACACGAAAGTGAAAGGATGAATTCGAATGTATGGCGTTTACCACAAAACTGGTGGTGCACATACAGCTCTAACCTGGAGGACCTAGAAAACCTTGATCCCAAACCTATGGGTGTATATAGACTCCAGAAACTGAAAGGATCATTTGGTCAACGTCAACCATGGTGTCCTAGCTCCTAACACTACTCCACTGCCTTGTATATATATATATATATATATATATATATATATATATATATATATATATATATATATATAATTGTAGAGCCAGAAAAAAAAATTATCGAAAAGGATATTTCTTGCTGAATTATTTTCTTTCTTTTCTACATGTCTGAATGAATATTTTCATCATATTCAAATTCAATTAGACAAACTATAGTACAATATATATATATATTTGGTTACAGGATTTCATCATGAGTTTATATTGGTTAGGAAACCATTGAAAAACCAGCTGGTAGTACTATACAGCCAGATGTTTCGTCCTAGTTTGGGACTCTTCATCAGTACGCATCCACTGGGGTTCGAACCCAGAGCCTTCCGGTTACAAGGCCAGCTCGTAGGGGCCAGTAGGTTCCGGGTTCGAACCCCTGTGGGGTGGGTGCGTACTGATGAAGAGTCCCAAACTAGGACGAAACATCTGGCTGTATAGTACTGCCAGCTGGTTTTTCAATGGTTTCCTAACCAATATAAGCTCATGACGAAATCCTGTAACCATTCAACCAAATCCCTACAAACCAACACTTGAATATACATTTTTTCTCAGACACAAAAGATTATATTCCTAGAGCTGACTGACTGTTTTACCACGCAATAGTTCAAGTTGTGTCATACTCCATGTACCGCAGCAAGGTAGAGAATAAGAAAAGAAGAATTTCAAAGGAATTATAGTGAAGCGGAATGTATGCAAAGGAAGTGTAGTCGCATGGAACAACATGAGAGCATAATGGATAAGGGAGATAACAAGAAGTGAATGTATGTTCACCAATGGGAACGATTTCGAACTATAACACCAACAGTCGCATACCATTGGTTCTTTGTATCTCAAAGATCCCAATCAGGCAATCTACACTTTAATACGTGGCTACTTCGCAATGAGGAAGGTGATGGCTCGACATGTTCGACGCTTGTTATAACCATATCAACCGATGCAGCTTCACAAACTCATTGGTAGGCTTACCTCCTCCTTACCTAACCTAAATCGATATTAATATAACCACATTATAACAATTAGCTCAAGAGACAGAACGCAAACATCTAACTTCCCCGGGTCCTCTTCACTTTCAATAGCCATTATCCACGGTCATAGAGAAGCGTACGAAGAAGTGCTGTTCAGTGCAAACACATCCTTCAGTTGTTTGCCTTGTATCACATTCGAGCTATAGGTTATGTAAGTTGGCAAATGTCATCGGCAAACATTTCATGATTGAAGTGGTCAACACGCCCCAACCATTTCACTCCATATCTTATACTCATTAAATCAATAAAATAACCAATATGATTAACTTAAAAAAACAAGCAATTGAACGGATGAACACACTAAGAGATAGAAGATAGTTTGCATAACTTATCTTTAGGCTTCCATTGTCAAAGTTAGGTGTGTTCAAGGAATTAAGATGAAGTTTACCCGGTATCCAAAAGTGGAAAATGTTTTTCTAATCAGATATCAGTATTTAACTGGATTACCCCAAATATTTAACAACCTTATTCAACAGCTGTATGACAACGGAACATGGCAAGTGATCTACAACCGAAAACTCAGAGAGGCGTTTGGAGTAAACACAGGAGTCAGACAAGGATGCTTATTATCACCAATCATATTCATAATTGTGGTGGACTGGATAATGCGACATACGGTGGGAAAGGAGAAGACAGGGATATCCTGGACTGACATGAACAACCTAGAAGACCTGGATTTCGCGCGTGGATGATTTATGTTTGATGTCACACAAAATCGAGGACTTACAAGCGAAAACCGACAAACTGGTCGAAGAAGCAGCCAGCGAAGACAGGACTCCAGGTGAGCATAGACAAGATGGGGGTTATGAAAATAACCAACCAACAAACAACAACAGGAACATCCAGCGTCAATCACCATCAACAGGAGGGATTTGAAAGAAGTTACTTCATTCACTTATCAAGCCAGGAAGCATTGTCTCAACTACAGGCAGTCGGGGCGGATGAGGATGTCAAATGGAGCCAGAATCTGGAAGGCGAGAAACACATCCATCAACCTGAAACTAATCTAGAAATCTCCGTCACACAGCATCAAAAACAAAATTAGGTCGGATTTTCAATACAAACAACGTCAAGTCAGTCAGCTCTTCTATACGAATCAGAAACATAGCAGGTGGGTCACAAAGAATATTTCCAACAGCCAGTTGCACACCTTTATCAACAACTGTCAACTATCGCTCTATACTGAAGATCAGATATCCGAAAAGAATCACTAACAAGAAACAATGAGAAGGAACAAACAAAACAAGAACAAACCAATCGCCCAACAAATATGCAGGAGAAAGTGGAGATGGATTGGACACTCGCGGCTGAGAAGGCCGCTGGGTGACATCGCGCGCGTCAGACCCTCGAGTGGAACCCGACAAAATGGGAAGCAGCGAGTGGGACGTCAGTTCGAGCGTGACATGGAGGAGATCGTGTGAAGGGGAGGAGTTGAAACAGTATGGACTAATATGGATGCAGGTGAAAAGTACAGTAGAAGCAAGACAGAAGCAAGTGGAGACGTGCAATCGAAGCCCTATGTTCCACTAGGAACGCAAGGGAACAATAATAAAATAAATTTCACTGAATAGGTTGTCTGTACATCGTATTCACATATAAACTCATTTCTTGTACATAAATACAAGACACACGCACACATTACATCAGTTTAAGATATACCAGACTCTGGAGTGGTAATATTGTGGTGGTGTGATACAGACAATGTGTATTCCAACGGAATATTATTCTCACAGTTCAATACGGCGTTAGCAACAGAATACTCCGTATACTTGAACATTCTGTTATATATTGCTTGATGTAAACCGAAATCACACGCTTAATGATTGTTTAGAGGATATAAAACTGTATCTATCTATATGAACAGCTCTTTGATGAATGAAAAATAAACCTTGACTCCCGTGTTTTGCTTTCTGTTGTCACAATACAACGATAAACACAATTCTGAGACAGAGGGAGACAGAGCGTGTGTGTGTGTGTGTGCTCACATGAAGATAAGTTACGAGATTTAAGATTAGGAAGATGATATAACAAGTGAATACATTCACATCATAGTGAATAATTCTGAGTCTTGTCACCAAGACTCCTCTCTCTGTGTAGCCATTCGCATCCTTAGTATTTTGAGAGTCCAGAGCAAAAATTACATCTGCATGCTTACAGATTAATAATTACAGGCTTTTAAGGTAGATAGGTACCGTAAATCTTTGTCGCTGACCATCAACTTTAGGTAAGATTACTACTCATCAAGGGAGGCGGTGGGTTGCCATCTATCTTCATAGATAAGGCTTTATAGTCACACACCCGTCAACCCATTGACTGACTCATTTTCCTTACCTAACTAACACTGTAGGTATCTAACAACGATAAAAGTATAGGGACAGTTAAGTGTACGTATTCCACTTGCTTTTAGGTGCAATGAGTTCTTTTATATCTTAGCGTATACCTAGAACTCAAAATCTAATATTTCAATATCCAATACTTTCAGTGGTCATGCCTCAGTTTTACCACGGACACGATTATTGTATGAGAGCTGGTTATGGTACTACTCAGTTGCCCCGAATGTGAGTTATGTGTGGCAGCATTCGAACCGAAAATACATTGACTACTGAAAGTCAAGTACCGAAGCTAATGAGTCAAGAATTAGGATGACTGACTGATTTCAACGTAGAACTTTGCACTGATGTGCACCAGTTCCAGCCGCCACTCTCCATTTATGTGGCACACAAAGCAAGAGGAGAGTAAAGAACGATTCAAAACAGAGATATGAGGCAAAAGGAATAGTAATATGGAAGAACAATACAGTTATATTGCATATTATAAGTCACAAGGAGCGAATGCATCTCCACCAGCCATTAACAACGATTTTGAGCCATATCACTAATCGTCTTCCAGCCTTCATTGGTTCTTACAGTCCTCAGGACCCCAACCAGCCAGTCAGAGAGTCTAACACCTCCCTACATGGCTGATGTCTAGCTGATTTAAACTAACTGTTGTGGATTTCATTGACTGGTGGAGCCAGCCATGTTTTAATTTGACCACCATCACTAGGTGGCTCTTTTCCAACCTGATCCTATGAAGTAGGATACAGCGAACTGTTAAACAGTGTACTCACATATGCTTTAAAATATTCCGACTCATTTTCAGGTAATCATTTTTGAATTCGTAAAACTTTAGAACTGGCAGTATAAAGATACAAAAAAAAATATACGAAAAATATAACATTGTTGAATCAATTCGAGTAAAAAAAATTTTTTTTAAAAGGTATATAGCTGCTTACATATTTCTGAGAATAGGGTGTTCTTTATTCGCTTCGAAATAAACCAACTGGTTATTTTCGTCTAACCATATCTTTGCATTGAAATAACAAGAGGTTAGAAAAATTTGAAAAAGATAAGAATAAAAGAAAACGACATCAGGGACAAAATTTATTGAACGCATGCAAATATATATATATAACATCATCAATCATTAAACCCATGCCCAGTGAGCGTACAAAATCAATGTAAGCGTATAGGAAATCAATCATAAGCCTTAAAACCTCAGTGTTATTATTATCTCGAACAATTTCGTTCACTAGTGCTGGATGATGATTCCACATGCTAATTGATTGACAACAGAAAACTCGTCAGGGTATTTGAAGTGAAGACAGTAGTGAGATTAGATACCTTCTGTTGATATAAGGATAAAACTTGAGCACTGAGGTGGTGGAGTATAATTATTCCATTACTTTACAGTCTTGTAAAGTAATATTTACTGATGACGACCACGTTTCGAGCACAATTTATTGTTGTTCATAATCATATTAATGTACTCACATAACTTTCTTGATTCATTTATATACATGGGTAAAATTCATTAGACATTTGAATAAAATCAACATAAGATAGAGTACATTCGGAAATAATACTAGTGTTATGAAAAAAAAAATACAATAAGATGGGAAATAAGATGTTTTTATAAACAAAATAAATAACTTGTTAGAATGTTATAATGTGAATTGAACTGAATACATTTTAACATTATTTATTATCCTCCTCTGAAATGACTGCCAATATCTCGCATACATATCTCTGGTAATTGCGTTAAGTCACTTTTATTATCTGCGTTGGGTGTAGACTCGATGAACAAGGATTCAGTAATCAACCTCTCTCGCTTTCCACCTATCTATATTGCTCTTTCGAATTTCAACTCTCTCTCTCTCACACACCCTATTGTGTGGTTGTGTGTCAATGGATGCAGTGCGATTGCTGAGCTTTTTTTCTAATTTACTTATCTTCACTGGTGGGATCAATCATTCTGACCATAGCTAAATTCTTATGTTCTGGTAATCTGATTACTTCCGACCTACTAGTTGCAAGGTATTTTGTAATCAATATTATTTTGTTTATTTGGGTCAACAGGGACCTTTAGCCTACAGAGAATGTCCCTGCTTGAGTGAGTCTGTTGGAGGGTTTAAATGCCATCCTGATTCCTGCTTTATTAAGAATCCTAGGAAGGGTCTCAGATGTCCCCTCCTTTTATGGTAAAACTACTGTAGATGCCTTATATTCTTTCTTATTTATGTTATCATTATTTGTTTCACTATTGTTTTTATTTTGCTCTTGACCTTGTTTTGATATTCCTAATGAATTTTAGAGGATAGTTATGCAACACCAACACCTCTTCTATCTGTTTCATTTCATCGTTTAGGCTTTTGTTGCACTACTCAGTGTTACTGCTCGGTTCGTTAGATACTTATCTAAGCCTGTTCTTACAGGCAACGACGACGAGTAAGATGAATTAAAGTCTAAATATCTATTAGAATGTATTGGGTTTTTTTTTATAAACGCTAGTGTGTAGTTTACCTTCTTCTATTCGTTTTATCTTACAATCTAACATAGCTAATTCTCCTTGTTCATTTTCCGATTCAAATGTAAATTTTATTCCCTCCACTAGTGAGTCTAAGTGTGTGTTGTGTTTTTAACATTGTGAAAGTGTCATTCACATATCTCATCACCATATCTTCAGAGTAGGATTAAATATATTAAGAGCAATGTTTTCCCAGCTGTCCATAAAGGCAAGGTTAAACTTTTGAACACCACTAACAACCAATCAGCAAACGACCTCGAACGGACCAATCACATTAAAGAGGCATATATGACGAATGGAAATGTATATTTATAGAAAAAAGCATAAAATAGATAATAAAAAAAGTTACATGGGATATCTTTCTCAAACATGTGAGAGAAAAATCTCCCAGTTTAGCATGGGACTGTCAATGGAAAAGTTACACCATATCCTGTACATATATTCATCCAAATGACCATAAATGAGATCCATCTGAGATACATTTATAGCCCCTATCCTATTTTCCAACCTGCCCCAAAATCCTTCATTAGAATTTGTATATGTCCTCATAACGGGATCCACAAAATCACTTGAATGGTTGTCTCTATGATGAATATATCCCAGAGATGACAGCGAACTGTAGCCTTTCCGTGTGTATAATTGACCCCCGCTTAACAATTCTGGTAACAATAGGTATAAGAGCAGTTGCTTTTCTATCTGCTATCCTTAGGGAGAGAAGCGACCTAGCGAAAAAAGTTCCTACGAAATAATAAAATTATTAGCATACCCTCTCTAGTGTTAGTAGGCTTCGAACATATAGCACAACGATGAACAAACCCATCAGTTGATTTCGTATAGCTTTTTAAAGTCATGATACCACCATACAATCAAATTCGTTCTTTCCGGAGCAACTCAAATCTAGGAAATACTGGAAAACACTAACCTCCTCGAATTGCAACAATAGCCTTGTAAGGTCACGCATTACAAATGAATCAAGAGCTATACAGCATTGAACTGCGTTCGTGAACCTCATTGGATAATTCGACATCGTTCGTGAATCTCATTGGATAATTCGCTGATTGGTAGTTAATGGTGTCGAAAGTTTAACTTCGCCTCCATAAAGATATCTTTATAGATTTTTATGAACATTATTATAGGCTTTATTAGTAACGGAGAAGCAGCCTCTTCTGTTTGGTTGTCTTCTTGCTGAAGGTTAACTTTGTTATCGGCTTTGTGGCCGTTTCTCAGAAAATCAAGTCAGATATCTGTGAATCATATTTCCACACTTTAACTCCGCTGTGACTGATTGGTTGGTGATTTTCTATGGGGTTAAGCTTTGTTATCGTTTTTCTCATAACTCTGATGATTCAGGACGTGAACATTGGCTTTCAGGCAGACCTAACCCCAGGAACACTATCAATCACTGGGATACTGGTACATCCAGATAACAAGACACCAAAACAAACCTATGAGGGAAAGTATGTACTACAACAAGTACCACTGAGGACTTTCACCAAAGTATATGAACTTACAAAATAATAATCATACAGTGAGGGATAAAAATATCCAGTGGAATTAATTATTCAATTACCTTATTTCCAGTAACTTCCCAACTACCATTAGTTAACTGACTGATATAAACATGTTCAGCTTTGATAAGAACTGCAGACTGTTCACTATTATTATTATTATTATCAACGTTCGCAGAGGTACTAGCATTATTATGGTGTATCGTGGACAATTTATCCTTAGACCATGAACACTGTACAAGATATAAATGGGTATAACCTGATCTATGAGAAGCCCATATAAATGTACAATTCTCTCCGCCTTTGAAGGTGACTTCATTATTATTATTATTTGAACAATTTCCTGTCACAGGATGCCATGAATTCGTCAAGAAGGTTAAGAAATCATGAACCTAAAATGAAAATTAAAAAAAAAATCAATTAGTAATAATAATACCAGGACCAATCAGATTTGTCGGACTCTTCTGACGAAGGTCATTCCAAGCAGAAACTATGCCAGCGTTTATAGATTTGGTTAGCAAATTACGCGGAGATCGAGCATTTAATTACTGGGTTAATAATGGATTAATTGGAGTGATGCACAACCCCTAACCTAAACAAATTGATCTCAATTTCACAATACCTATATTTAGGTGTGTATAAAACAGACGGGATTGAATTAGATATTATTGTGAAATATCTACCTTTAAGCTAATATTTTATATTAGGCCAAACGCGATTCAATTTCATCTTTAATGTCAGCATTTTTGTCATTTTGGAAGGTTTGTATAGATATCGATTAATTGTGGAACTTTGGATTCAAGCTTTTTATTCTGCTTTGAACTCACCACAAGCTGTATACTTAACAGCATCCCAATGAGTAGCGATCTTCTTTCATTAAGAAAAAGGAATAAGCTTACTGGGGACACATATATATATCTAGCTCCACGATTCTCCTGAAGGTTTTCATTTCCTCCATGTCATCCTGAGACTAACGCCAAACTAGTCGTTTTTCATCTGTGAAATAAAATATGAACCGTATTATCCTGCCCCAAAAATATGCGCTTTCTTACTGTGAAGTAATTTGGTGGATCGTGACTGACTAACTAACTAACTAACTAGTAGTGGAATGCACCAGCATGCGAATTTCATCCTAATTAGGACTCATAAAGTCAATGTACCTGCATGCCCCAATGAGTGATGATGGTGTTCCCACACAGACTGGAATCCAGTACTTATCGTTTGTGTTCAGTAGTCAAAGCGTTATCGACTAGATCAGTAATTGGGCCACGAGAGTGGCACCATTAATGCAGTTGGCATCAATTACTATTCATTTTTGATTTTCTTTTTGGCTGTTTGTACCAAAATGTTCCGAACACAAAATGGGAACACCATCACTCACTGAGAATGCCGGTACATCCAGCTAATTAGTCCTGAATAGCACAAAGCGCACATCCTAGATTTCAGTGCTACTACCCTCCCCCATACAGTAAACTACTACTTTAGGTTCATCGCTGGAAATCGTCGAAGGGTCTGTACTGGGAGCAGGTACATGTTGACGGAGGCCGAAGATTTCGGTCCAATCAATCAACAGGAAAATCGAATCGAAATTGCCTTGAAAAAAACCAAACAAATAATCAAGATCGTTTGAAATAGATATAGCACACAAGCCAGACAGCCAGCCAGCACAATCACTTCATTCAATATTGTGCACACCAAAAGATCCAACAGAGAATGAAGATAAGGTTAATACCATTTACACCATAAACTGTATGAACTGTAGCCGACATTACACCGGTAAAAGTGGGCTGTTAATTAACTGTCAAAAAACGTGATATATCATATTTTTCATATCAATGCATGTAGATAATTACGGACACCAAATTGATTGGGATAATGTTGAAGTTTTAAATAGAGAAAACACCAAAAGTGACAGAGAATTCCTAAAAGCCTGGTACCCGAATGAATTAGCCAGAGATTCTGTCTGTCTGTCTGGATTCAACATAGAACTTGGCACCGAAGTGCACCAGTTCGAGTTGCCACGTTCCAAATAGCACACAGAGGTAGACAAGAAGATGAGTGGAGAGAATTAATAGAGTTTGACAAATATAGGAGTGAAACAGAATGGGTAATGGTAGAAAGGAATATGAAAGATTACAGAGATTGAATACATCTGCGCCATTGACAACGATTTTGAGCCATGTCACCTATTGTCTCCAGCCATTGATTCCTAGAGTCCCGAGGGCCCCAACCCGGGAGTCTGCATCTCCCTACCTGACTCAGTTTAACTGTCAAGGATTTCATGGATTGATGAGGCCATGTTTTTGTTTGGCCACCACTGGCTCTTTTCCAACCTGAACCTATATCAGCTAACAATGCCCGTCGGGGGAGGCGGTGGTTAGGCATGCGCACCACGTGACCTAGCCATCTTAGTCTATGTAACTTTATAGCTTCGTCGATTGATCTTCCTCCTTTGCCCAACACTCTACGCCTAACGTCAACATTACTTACCTTATTAAACCACCTAACGTGAGACAGAGATCGCAGACATCTATGATCGAAAGCAGTCAACCTCTTCATGTCTTCAACGCGTATTGGCCATGTTTCAGAGCCATAGAGAAGGACGGAGCGAACTGATGAGCAGTACACACGTCCCTTGGTTGATAACCGGATGTCACGCCTACGCCAGAGATGGTGTAAGTCAGCGAAAGCAGCTCGAGCTTTTCGGATCCGTGCTGAGATTTCATCGCCAATCAGTCCGTTGGTGCTGGCTGATACAACTACCCAAATAGGTGAAGTGGTCTGTCTGTCTGTCTGTTTTCGACATAGAACTTTGCACAAATGTGCGGAAGTTCAAGTCGCCACATTCCGTGTAGCACGCGAAGCAAGAGAAGAAAGTACAAGAAAAGCAAATAGAAACAGTGAGCAGAGGTGTGAGACAAAGGAGTAATAAAGAAATACAAAACAGTTTCATTGGAGATCATAAGTCACAGGGAGTGGATGCATCTGCGCCACTGAGAACGATTTTGAGCCATGTCACCAATTGTTTCCAACCATAGATTTTTACCGTCCCGAGGACCCCAGCCTGGAAGTCTACACCTTCCTACGTGGCTTAGACCAACTGTTGTGGATTTCATTGACTGATGCCAAGTTTTTGTTTGACCGCCGCTAGCTTTTTTCCAGCCTGACCCTATATCCGCTAACATTGCTCGTCGAGGGAGGCGATGGCTTGGCATACGTAACACATGTCCTAACCATCTCAGTCGATGTAGCTTCACGACTTCGTCGATTGATTTCCCCTGTTTACCTAGAACTCTACGCCTAACCTCCATGTTGCTCACCTTATTATGCCACTTTACACGGGAAATAGAACGCAGGCACCTATGATCAAAGACAGCTAGTCTTTTCATGTCTTCCACTCTCAGTGGCCAGGTCTCACAACCATAAAGGAGGACGGAGCGGACTGATGAGCAGTACACCCGCCCTTTGGTCGATAGTCGAACATCTCGTCTACGCCAGAGTCGGCGTAAACTAACAAATGCGAAACGAGCCCCTTGTATTCGTGCTGAGATTTCGTCAGAGATCAGCCCGTTGGGGCTGATGGTACTTCCCAAATAAGTGAAGCGGTCAACGTGCTCTACCACTTCACTTCCTATTTTTAAACTAGGCGTCGATGTAGTCCAGTCCTGTAACATCATCTTGCATTTGGCGGGAGCGAATCGCATGCCAAACATTCGTAGATTGCTGTTCAAGGTGTTTAGAAGACTCTGCATTTCGTCAGCGTCTTCGCCTAGAAGGACTATATCGTCTGCATATTCCAAGTCAACGAGATTATTCCCAGGTAGCAAGTCAATCCCTGAATCGCTGAAGTCACCTAGGGTTAAGTCCATTAACACATCTATGATGAAGTTGAATAGAAAAGGAGATAATGGGCATCCTTGACGGACACCACTGGTCGTCATCAGTTCAGATGACAGCTCGCCGTAAGCCCTCACCTGGCTGTATGAGTACGAATAGAGTGCCTTAATCAGTGCAATATATTTTCTCGGAATTCCCTTTACAGCCAAGCATCTCCAGAGAACTTCCCGATCGACAGAGTCGAATGCTGCCTTTAGGTCAAGAAATATAATGACTGTTGGACGCCGGTAGGAATGCCTATGTTCTAGAATCTGTCGGAGGGTGAAGATATGATCAATACACCCTCTTCCTGGTCTAAAGCCTGCCTGGCTCTCTCGTGTTTGTGCTTCCCGAGCACCACTCAGTCTACGCATGATTATTGAGCCTAAGACTTTAGATACTATATTAGTCAAGCTAATCCCTCTGTGATTATCACAGGAAGACTTGTCTCCCTTCTTGTATATGGGGATAATCAGTGACTTACACCAACCCGATGGGACTTCTTCTGATTCCCAGACGCTGCCTAGTACCTCAGTTAATCCGGACAGTAAGCTGTCTCCACCGTACTTAAATACCTCTGGAGTCATTCCATCAGGTCCCGCTGCTTTGCCTAGTTTCAGATTGGTGACAGCTTTAGTAACCTCAGTTAGTGACGGAGGACCTGTGTCTATATCCCATTCAGGGAGGTGTTGGATGCTCGGAAGGTTGAGCGTGGCTGTGGGCAAATTAAACTGCTCCTCATAATGCTCTTTCCAACGATCCAGTCGTCTATCCTGTGAGCTAATTATAGTGCCATTTTTTTCCGAGATTGTCTCACTAATGATTTGTCTTCTCCCACCCGTTTCCCTGATGAGTCCAAAGAGTTGCCTGGTGTTGCCTATCCTCGAAGCTTTCTCCATCTCTTTGGCTTTTGTCGCCCACCACTGTTCACGGTCCTTGCGGAGACTTTTCGTAAGTTTCCTCTTGTGCAGCTTTCGCTCCTCATTGAATTCGGAGCTCGCCGGAATAAGTCTTCTAGCATCTATCAGTTCGGATGAGGCGGTGGAGATCCAGTGGTTTTTACTCACCTTTGGGTTTACCTTATTCACAGCTTTTACAGCTGTATCTATGGCTGCCTGGATATTTTTCCAAGCTTCTTCAGGGTGAGCACAGCTGTCGAACACAGATATGTGTTTAGCTAGTTCTTCCTCAAATACGGATTTAGTTTCCTGATCGAGCTGGGGACGTGATGGTTTTACCGCCAGCTGTTTCCTACGTCCGTTCAGTCGTAAGCACACCCGAGCGCGGACCAGTGCATGGTCGGTATCTACGCACGTGTTCCAGAAGGAGCGACAATCTCCTACCGACCCACGCCAACGATAGCTTATTGCTATGTGGTCTATTTGTGTCCAGCGTTGGTTTGATGAAGGGGGTCTCCAAGTCAAACAGTGTCTCTCCTTGTGTTTGAAGTTAGTGCTTACAAGAAACAAATGATTATCAGAGCAGAACTGTAGGAGACGGTCACCGTTGTCGGTTC